AGCTCCAAACTCTCAGCAAACAAAAAATAATGGCACCCAGTGACAAAAAAAAATGTAGAGAGCTCCCAATGCATGGTCTGACCAGCCTACTGTGTTTTCATAGACAGGGCAAACGCAGAAGCAATGCCAGCTGTTCTGGAACTGGAAAACACTCCACAGCGTAGAGTCAAGAAAGCACACCTTGTGGAACCAAATACCTAAAAGGTCACATTCAAGATAGCTTTGCAACTTCTAGTCCAACACAACCCAGATGTGGTAGGGTCCAAATGCCAAGCTGTGGAAGATTGCAAATTGAAGGGAAAACTTCCAATAGTTCTGTAGAGAAAAGTCAACTGAAGAAAAAAAATAGTAGTAAAAAGTGCTAGTAAAATAACAGGTTAGTCTTTACAACAGAGCAGAAGAAAAGACGTCTGTCCTCCTAGAACACTAGCAAAAAAACCATGCTGGTAATAAGAGGAGATATCCTGAGCTAGTCTACTGGGCATCAGACACTAAAAGATGAAATACCATACATTAACTTCAGTACAGTGTTTGTGTGCTACATAAAACAGTACATTTGGAAAGAGGGAATGTCTATGATGACTGCTTCACTGGCCATGGCTGCGGAGGAGGCAGAAAGGGGCTGGTAAGCTTCAGTAACATCACTAAGTGCCGATGCTTTTCCTGTCAGTACAGCCTGTCACTTGGCTGTAACTAGGAGCTTCTGGAGGTTGCTGCAGGTACTTGCACTTTACATAAGCAGAAGTGTTTTTTATATATACAGTTGTGTTAGCACACCCTGGCAGAAATCATGCCATTTTTGATATTGAAAGTATGACAAAAAATTAATTTTAAGGATAGTGATTATATGAAGTAATTTATTATTTTATCACATAGTTATATAGCAGTCTCGTGACTTCTATCAGTGTCCAGCAGAGCCCTGGTAAAAGCTTGTAGGAGGAGTTTTCATTCTGCTCCGACTGCCCTATGGGGCTGCATAACCCCTGACCCTCTGTCTGGACAGTGCAAATTGGCCCTGTGCTGATCACATGCACCCTCGCCAAAGAAAAAACAAAAAAGAAAAAGAAAACCTCTCTAGCAATACACACTAAACCGAGCATGTGCAGAGTGCCTCCTAGAGCTCTGTACTAGCAGTCGGATTGGGGACAGTAGAAGAAAGGGAGAATCAGAGAAGACAGGATGAAACAGCCTTTTTACACAATGTGGAAGATTAACCCCTTAGGTTCCAGTGAGTATAACAAGCATGCTTTAAAAAAAAAAAAATTATAATCTTACACCCACAGTTGATCCAGAGGAAGGCAAAAAAACCCAGCAAAGCATGATGCAATTTGCTCCTACAGGGGAAAAAATGTCTTCCTGATCTCCCAAAAGGCAATTGGATATTCCCTGGATCAACATTACCAATAAATGTTAGTATCCAGTTATATTCTGTGTATCCAAGAAAGAATTCCGGCTTTTTTTAAAGCAATCCAATGAGCTGGCCAGAACCAACTCTTGAGGGAGTCTATTCCACATTTTTACAGCTATTACTGTGAAGAAACCTTTCCGTATTTTTGAGATTACATTTTTTTTCCTCCAGACGTAAAGAGTGCCCCCTTGTCCTCTGTGATGACCTCAGGGTGAATAACTCTACACCGAGTTCACTATATGAACCACTGATGTATTTATACATGTTGATCATATCCCCCCTTAATCTCTTCTTCTCAAGAGAGAATAAATTCAGTTCCTCTAATCTTTCCTCATAGCTGAGCTCCTCCATGCCTCTTATCAGTTTGGTTGCCCTTCTCTATACTTTCTCCAGTTCCCCAATGTTCTTTTTGTGAATTGGTGCCCAAAACCGAACTGCATATTCCAGATGAGGTGTTACTAATGATTTGTACCGGGGTAATATGATATCTCTCTCTGGAGTCTATACCTCTATTAATACAAGAGAGGATTTTGCTCGCTTTAGAAACCGCAGCTCGGCATTGCATCCCGTTATTAAGCTTGTGATCTACCAGAACTCCCAGATCCTTCTCCACCACTGATTCCCCCAGTTGTACCCCCCCTAGTATGTATGATGCATGCATATTCTTAGCCCCCAAGTGCATAACCTTACATTTATCAACATTTAACCTCATCTCCTAGATTGTAAGATCCAAGGAGCAGGCCCTCAAATCCCTCTAGTATTGAACTCTATTGTTACTGTACTGTCTCCCTCCATTATGTAAAGCGCTGAGCAAACTGTCGGTGCTATATAAGTCCTGTATAATAATAATAATAATTTGCCACATAGTTGCCCAATTAAACAGTGTATTGAGGTCGGCTTGTAAATTGGAGACATCCTGTAAGGACGTTATTCCACTGCACAGCTTGGTGTCATCTGCAAAGACTGAAATGGGATTTTTAATCCCAGACCCTATATCATTTATAAATATATTAAAAAGTAAGGGTCCCAACACTGAACCTTGGGGTACACCACTGACAACCCTAGACCATTCAGAGTATGAATCATTAACCACTACTCTCTGAATACGATCTTTTAACCAGTTTTTTTTATCCATTTACATACAATTTTTTTCCAAGCCCATAGACTTTACCTTACACATTAGCTGTGTGTGGGGAACTGTGTCAAACGTTTTTGCAAAATCCAAGTATACCACATCCACCGCCACCTCTCTGTCCAAGTATACCACGTCCACCGCGACCCCTCTGTCCAAGTATACCACGTCCACCGCCACCCCTCTGTCCAAGTATACCACGTCCACTGCCACCCCTTGTCCAAGGTTTTGTGCGCCTCCTCATTAAAAGAAATCAGATTTGTTTGACAACTTCTGTCATTAATCCATGCTGTCTGTTGCTTAACCTCCCTGGCAGTATGATTATTTCAGATTTTTGGTGCTGAAAGCGGTACCATTATTTTGCATGGATATTTGGCGTTTTATATTGTAGGCCTGTAATTTTTAGGAATAACTCACTGAAATCTGTTCGAACAAGAGTCTAGTAAACATCCCGGGTAGGATAAAACTTGAAACACGAAATCATAAATTATAATATAATAAATAATCAAAAAAATAATAATAAATTTAATTCAATAATATAATCAAACCAAAAACACTGAAATTTGAAATATAGTGCTAAGTTCGCACATCACTGAGCAAAGTCGCAAAATTGTTTTCAGTGTCTTATGACGAATTTCCCCACAAATCATTATCACTCAATTCTGCAAGTGGTTCTGATTTACTATCGCTGTTCTCTAGCTGGTCTAAAACCGATTTTGACCTAAAGGGACACTTTCTGGACGCCATGGACATTTCTCAGTTTCCAGGCAATAAGAACAGTAAAAATGCAGGCAGGGCACAGGACAAAGCACTCGGGACAAAATGTATGTGAAATGGTTTGATACAGTAATGTTTTACTATGTGATTTTAGTGAATGTCACTTTTGTCATTTTCAAATTTCCCGCCGTTCCGTCCCCCGTACGCCCCGACGCTCGCAGGGGACAGAACCCAGATGACAGATGCCGGTATCCGCCAGATTTACATTGCCAGGGACACTGCAGGAGGGACATCGCGGGAGCGCAGGACAAGGTAAGTGATCGAGGGATCGTGGGAGCAGCGCCGCATGGTATTCCCGAGTGTAGCTTGGGGTTACCGCTTGTGGTACTGAAACTTTACCCTGAGCTACACTCGGGAATACCGCCAGGGAGGTTAAAATATTTTTTTCCAGCAAGAACTCATCTATGTGGTCTTTTATTAAACTCTCCAGTATCTTCCCAACCATAGAAGTTAAATTAACAGATCTATAATTTTGACCCCTTTTTAAATATAGGCACCACATTGGCCTTACGCCAATCAAATGGTACTATGCCAGTCATTAAAGAGTCCCTTTAAATTAGAAACAATGACTTTGAAATGACAGAGCTCAATTATTTAAGGACCCGTGGGTGTATGCCATCCGGTCCAGGTGCTTTATTCACCTTTATTCTGTCTAAATATTTTTGGATCATATCAATTGTGAGCCAATGTGGATCATCTGGAGCTGTGTCAATACCATGCCCATTATGGACAAGAGCTCCCCCATGCTCCTTTGTATACACAGAGCTGAAGAAGGTATTTAATAAATTTGCTTTCTCTTTGTTCCCAGTCACCCACTATAGATTATATTGTAAAGGGCCTACAGTCTCGGACTGGACCTTTTTACTATTAATGTATTTGAATACTTTTTGAGGTTTGTCCTGCTATCTCTTGCAATCTGTTGTTCGTTTTCAATTTTTGCAGCCTTTATTTCCTTTTTGCATATTCTGTTATATTCTTTGTAATGTTTAAATGATGATAGCGTTTCTTTATTATTATATTTAATAAAAGCTCTTTTATTATCTATAGCTTTTTTAGCTTTGGCTGTAACCCAAATAGGTTCGATTTTTCACATTTCAAACTTGTTGCCCATGGGCATATATTTTGCAATTTAGGGGACCTCAACAACCATGCACCAAGTAAAAGTACCAAACATGCTCCAGGCTCCATAAAAGGACAGGGCCCTTGACTTACTGTAGTGGTAGTTCAGACAGAATCCAGGGAAAAATGCCAGATTCAGACAGTCTTCACCTCTTTCAGTGGGCATACTCTCTAAGACATCTTCAGGGACAGAATTCCACCAGTAAGTACCGTATTTTTCGCACCATAAGACGCACTTTTTTCCCCCCAAAAAAGGGGGGAAAATGTCAGTGCGTCTTATGGAGCGAATAAGGAGCGGCCGGTCCGGTATTTCCACTGCCACCGTGTCAGAATACCGGGCCGGCCGCTCAGCTCTACAGCGGGACCTTATAGCGATGACTGCTGACCTTTGGGGAGGGGGGGGAGCGGGTACCTGAATTTGACAGATACCCGCTCCCATTTCCGTGGAGTTGTTCTTTCATCTTACCCGTTCCTCTATCCAGCGGCGCGGTCTTCCCGGCTTCTGTAGTGTGGGCATGACAGCCGGGTGCTAAGCCCGCTCCCCCCCCTCCCCAAAGGTCAGCAGTCGCCCCCTGTACTATCCACAGTCTCTGGTCATCTCCTGTACTGTGTCCGCAGTCTCTGGTCATCCCTGTAGAGGCAGGTCCGCAGTCTCTGGTCATCCCTGTACTGTCAGCAGTCCGCAGTCTCTGGTCATCCCTGTACTGTGTCCGCAGTCTCTGGTCATCCCTGTACTGTGTCCGCAGTCTCTGGTCATCCCTGTACTATGTCCGCAGTCTCTGGTCATCCCTGTACTGTGTCCGCAGTCTCTGGTCATCCCTGTACTGTGTCCGCAGTCTCTGGTCATCTCCTGTACTATGTCCGCAGTCTGGTCATCCCTGTGCTGTCCGCAGTCTCTGGTCCTGCACTGTGTCTCCCTGTACTGTGTCCGCAGTCATCCTGTACTGTGTCATCATCCCTGTACTGTGTCCGCAGTCTCTGGTCATCCCTGTACTGTGTCCGCAGTCTCTGGTCATCCCCTGCACTGTGTCCGCAGTCTCTGGTCATCTCCTGCACTGTGTCCGCAGTCTCTGGTCATCTCCTGTACTATGTCCGCAGTCTCTGGTCATCCCCTGCACTGTGTCCGCAGTCTCTGGTCATCTCCTGCACTGTGTCCGCGGTCTCTGGTCATCTCCTGTACTGTGGCCGCAGTCTCTGGTTTTCTCCTGTACTGTGGCCGCAGTCTCTGGTCATCCCCTGAACTGTGTCCGCAGTCTCTGGTCATCTCCTGTACTGTGTCCGCAGTCTCTGGTCATCTCCTGTACTGTGTCCGCAGTCTCTGGTCATCTCCTGTACTATGTCCGCAGTCTCTGGTCATCTCCTGCACTGTGTCCGCAGTCTCTGGTCATCTCCTGTACTGTGGCCGCAGTCTCTGGTCATCCCCTGAACTGTGTCCGCAGTCTCTGGTCATCTCCTGTACTGTGTCCGCAGTCTCTGGTCATCTCCTGTACTATGTCTGCAGTCCATTAGTTCAGAATTTTTTTTTCCTGTTTTCTGCCTCTAAAACCTAGGTGCGTCTTATGGTCAGGTGCGTCTTATGGAGCGAAAAATACGGTATATCTCAGCCCTGGACCTGTAAAGTTTTCTGCAGCTGACTCACACTGGACAATAGGTATCTTGGAGAGTGCCCACAGTACAGCCCAATGCCCTAAAGTTATGGTACAGGCCAGCCCTGCATCTTTGACATGGTGGGATCCAGATACAGCCTCCAAAGCTTTTCTCAGACCAGCTGATACAGAAACTACATTAACCTCTTGCCGCCCAGCCACTGTATAAATACGGTGGCAGGGCGGCACGGGCAGGCAAAACCACGTTTTAAAACGTATGTTTTGTAAACAGGTAGGAGGCGCGCCGCCACCCTACCTGTCCTGCCGATCACAGCCGCGGATGTCAGTTGCCGGGTCACAGCCAGTCCTTACTGGCTATCTCCCGGCGATCGGCGGCAATCAGTGACAGAGAGCACAGCTGCAGTAGCTGTGCTTTCTGTCACTTCCCTGACAGCTCGAGTACAAGCTGATCGAGACAGAAGAATTTCTCTTTCCCAATCAGCCTGTCCCCCACTGTCCCCCCCCCCCCAGTACATACCCTCGCCCCCTAGTAAAATACTCCCCCTCACACAGATAACCCTTCCCTGAAAAATAAAGTTAACCCCTTCCTCCCCAGTGCCATTAGTACAGTGTCAGTGGTTTTTTTTTTTTTTGCACTGATCACTGTATTGGTGTCACTGGGGATGTCAGTGACCCCAAGTTAGTACCCCCCAATGTCAGAATGTCCGCTGCAGTCCCGCCATAAGTCGCTGATCGCCGCCATAAGTCGCTGATCGCCACCATTATTAGTATAAAAAAAACCTAAAAATCACAGTTTTTTTTATAGCGCAAAAAATAAAAACCGCACAGGCGATCAAATACCACCGAAAGAAAGCTCAATTTGTGGGAAAACAAAGGATGTAAATTTCATTTATGTACCGTATTGCAATTGTCTGTTAAACTAGCGCAGTGCTGTACAGCAAAAAAATGGCGTAAATTGCAGTATCTATACCATAGTTTGTAGACGCTATAACTTCCACACAAAGCAATCAATATACACTAATTGGGATTTTTTTTCCAAAAACATGTAGCAGAATAATTTTGGCCTAATTTTATAACCAACTTTGAGTTTACTATATATTTTTTTATAGCTGAAAGTAAAAAAATATTGTTTTTCTTCAAAATTTTTGGTCTTTTTTTGTTTATAGCGTGAAAAATAAAAAGCACACAGGTGATCAAATACCACCGAAAGAAAGCTCTATTTGTGTGAAAAGAGGACGTAAATTTCGTTTGGGTGCAGCATTGCATGACCGCGCAATTATCAGTTGAATTAGTGCAGCGCCGAGTTGCAAAAAGAGGCCTGGTCATTAAGGGGGGTAAATCCTCTGGGGGCCAAGTGGTTATTGAACCGTCTGGCTCTGCAGTAAATAAAGGATCTTGCGGAACAAGGGGATCTTGACAGAAGTAGAAGTCTTGTACAAAGGGTTTTTTTTTTTTGTCTCTGAATGTCCTAAGACAGTAGCAAAAAGAAAAAAAAAAAACTTGAGCATGATGGTAGGGGGAGAGGTTACATCTGGCTAACATTTTTGTTTGCTAGTGTCCCAATTTCCTGTAGGAAGAAGTAACAATCGCTTGTCTCAGATTGAACTCTGTATCCCCAATGAACGGAAAATTCACATTTCAAATTCTGCTTGTTCTTCCAGTTGAAAATTGATGCTAATTATGCAAACATAAAAGTTTCCAAAGGTTACAGTAGTAAATAATGTCACTTACTTCACAGTGGCGCTGAGGAAGAAATTCAGCTGTGGCATCTGCAGATTATCAGGAGCTGCCAGGTAACGATCAAACTGCGCCTAAAGTCATTAATAACAAAGTAAATTATAACAACAAGCAGATCCTCATTTACACACAAACTTTTATGACCAGCTGACTAGGAAAGCTCTCCATATAAAAAATCCTGCCAAGTTTGTTCAACAATTGAATCTAGTTCTGGCTTATTAAAAATTGACATAAACAAACATACAGTGGGGAAAATTATTATTTGATCCCATGCAGATTTTCTAAGTTTGCCCACTTACAATTTGGTTGACAGAATATCAACCAAAAATCCAGAACAAACACAATAAAAATGTTATAAATTGAGTTGCAGTTCAGTGAGTAAAATAATTTTTTGAGCCCCTACCAACAGATAATAATTCCGGCCCCTCAGACTGGCTATGTGCTCATGTGGTACACAGATTAGTCATGTCCACTTAAGAACATTCTAACGACAACTCATTATGTGTATAAGACACCTGTCCACAGACTCTCTTTCTTCCATTCAATCTGTCAAAGGATGTCAGGGACACAATTGTAGATCTTCGCAAGGCTGGAATGGGCTAAAAGAACATCAGTAAGAAGCTTGGTGAGAAGAAGACAACTGTTGGAGCGATTATTCACTAATGGAAGAAATAAAAAAAAAAAAAAAAAAAAAATCAGTCGCCCCTGATCTGGAGCTCCATGCATGGTTTCGCCTCATGGGGCAAGGATGATCATGAGAAAAGTGAGGGATCGACCCAGAACTACACAGGAGGTACTTGTGAATGACCTCAAGGCAGTTGGGACCACATTCACCAAACAAACCACTGGTAACACAATACGCCGAAATGGACTGAAATCCTGCAGTGCCCGCAAGGTCCCCCTGCTGTGGAAGGCACATGTACAGGCTCGTCTGAATTTTGCCAATGAACATCTAAATGATTCAGAGAAGGACTGGGAGAAAGTGGTGTGGTCAGATGAGACCAAAATTGACCTCTTTGGCATTAACTCGACTCAGCATATTTGGTGGAAAAAAAATGCTGACTATTACCCTAAGAACACATCCCTACAGGCAAGCACAGAGGTGGAAAATTATACTTTGGGGCCGTTTCTCTGCTAAAGGTACAGGCCGACTTTGCCGCATTGTGGGGCCAAAGGACGGGGCCACCTATTTTTTCAATCTTGGATGAGAACCTTCTTCCCTGAGCCAGAACACTGAATATGAGTCGTGGATGGTCTTCCAGCATGACATTGACCCAAAACATACCGTCAAGACAACAAAGGAGTGGCTCAAGAAGAAGTACATTAAGGTCACAGAGTGGCCTATAGGAAATGTATGGAGGGAACTGAAACTTTGAGTTGCCAAGCAACTCCATTTTACCTTCATTCTTACTTATTTCCACATGAATTGTCTTTTATTCACTATTTAATACTACACTATATACTACTTTTGGCTCCTGTGGTGAGCTATTCCTCATAGGCGAGGGTCCATCTGCGTTTTTTGCCCTTGGCTGAGCATCCCTTGCAGAGGTTTCATTGCTGTTATCTGTACCCAGATGAGATGTGCTTACATGCTGTTTACCAGTAGCTGTCTGGTGAGTGCACATCTGACAGAGGTGGTGGATTCCCTATTGGATCACTTCACAATATTTCACCGTGATTGCCATACTTATATCCTTACGGACAATTTATAGCTCTTACTCACTGATATTTTATGAACTTTCTATATTCTCACTTTTATGATGCACTTTACTGTTTCACATTTATTGAAAATTTTTAATATTTGATTTTTATATGCTGCACTTTGACTGTTCCGCTGAAAAAGAAAGAAAAAATTTTTTTTTGCTATATGTCAGATTGACTTCGTACTTTATTTTCACTATAATATCATTCACTTATTTTAGCGCTGCACTTACTATATAAGTACTAAGTCATGTTTTGCTTGGGGATCAAATACTTATTTTACTCACTGAACTGCAACTCAATTGATAACATTTGTATCATGTGTTTTTTCTGGATTTTTTATTGATTTTCTGTCTCTACCATTTAAAATACACATATGATAAAAATGATAGACCCTACATTTCTCTTAAAAGTGGGCAAACATACAAAATCAGGAGGGGATCAAAAAATTATTTTCCCCACTGTATATATATGTGTGATTCTGCTTATAGCAAACAAATCTGATGCTTGCTGCATTTATGTATTTAAAGGATAAAGTCATCTTTAGTAAGAAAATGAATGCACAGTTTCTTAAACTACAAAATCATCTGCGTTTAACATTTTTTCTTCATTGAATCCTGCAAAAACATTGCACCCAGAATCAGTGGATCGTGCAATATCAGGCTCCTGCAGACACTGCTGACAGCTCTCTGCCCTTATCAGTGTCAGTGAACTATGAGGATGCTGATCAGCATGCTTGTAATTCATTGAAAATTACAAGCTGTCCACCATGGTGGCAGATGAGACTTGTAGTTCATTCATTCACAAATCTCTGTGAATGAATGATGCAGCTGTGCGGGCAAAACCCCTGCACAGCCATGCCGTTTTTAAAATGTGCCAGCAGCTGTGAGGAGAAGAACCCTTCACCCACTGTCACAGGGAAGAGGGGTGAGATGGGGGGGGGGGGCTGAAAATGTTACGTGTTACACCCTAAATACAGGACCTTAGATCTTCCGAACCTGATAGGTAAAACAATGTCACTGCA